CCGTGGAACTCGCTTCCAAGCGAGATGGTGACGGCTGATACAGTTTTTGTGTTTAAAAGAAAACTTGCTCGTCTAGTTTTCGACAGAAATCGGCTTGTACAGCATGACTATGCACAGCCAGTTTTGTAAAATCTGTCATATACAATCTTCCGCACTAATTTACAGTGACCCCATGCACTACATTATGATTACGATTGAACTGTGACCCAATCACATTTTAAATGCCTGCAATTTTATTTTATTTTTGAGTATGAATCTGCGAAAGCACTGTACATAAATAGGGTCATCAAGGGCTCTGCCTGTAACCCTTCAATATACATACATACATTATGCCAAGAAAGAGAAAGGCGCCATGTGCGGCACCACTGGGCGAAAGCCTGTAGATCGCTCTTTAGGAGCTCAAGCACGATGTCACGATCTGCCGGCTTATATCGATATGCAACTTTAAGATCATCGGCATACATGAACGGCTTACCATTCTGAAGACACCCAAATTTATTAAACTCGAAAATAATTTCAATGACAGGCCGATATCAAAGTTCTTCAATTTACATGAAGGGCATATTATTCATGTCCCCCAAAAAACTACCAAACTGCACATTTCAATTGTTATATTGTACATATCGTTCTTTTTTAAAACTTTTGCGATTGTCTTGTCTTAGGACTCAGGTTTTTTTAACTTAAAACAAACTCATTATTCGCGCTCTATTGGTTAAACAGACACTCAAAACAAATGAAGTCAAAGTGCAGTCAAAATAAATGAGTTTGTTTTAGGTTTATTTCCGAAGTTCAAAGGGGACTGACAGTGCCCAAAGGGCGCTATAATAAACCTATTCTAAACCACTTCTCAGACAAATACCTGATGTTATATTGACACATCGCTAAACTGCCCCGTTTCGCTCACCGCTCACCCTCACCAGAATTTCTTCTTGACCCCTAAAATGTCGAAGCCTCAACTCCATCGCCGATCTCACACTTGGCCCGTCTCAACTCAGTATTTTCGTGAGCAATTTGGTTACGATGATTGTTTCATTGCAAATCTGCCTCTATATTTGCATCT